GTAATAAACGAAATGATATAGCTTGGAATTATGCTATACAAGGCTCATCAAGATCCGCAATTANNNAAAAAGGCGAGCGCTTCGCTGCGCGCCTCTCGCCTCAGTGAAGCGGGCCCTCGTCGCTATTTGTCGCCGCACGCTATCCAAAACACTGGTTTTTACCGACATTAATTTCTATCATTATATTTGTTTTGGCTTAAACTGGATTTGAGGCAGGCAATGGGACGAGCTTTTTTCTTGTCTGGAAAAGGACAAGTATCCTTGTGGGGGAGGGAAATGAGGGTTTAGAGGGCATCGTTACTGGCAAGAGCACAAAGTTAAGCATGGGAAGAAAATGATGAAAAACAAGTCAAACGAAGGAAGAGAGAAGATACATGAAAGAAAATAAAGGAGCAATGGAATATCAATGCATCAGAGAGAAATCGGGACAAAGAACTAAGTGGGCTGGAAAGAAGGGAGAAAGAAAGAAGCTCGAGAGATAAAAGGGATTAAAAGAAGAGGTTTGGTCACACAGGCAAAAGTTGAGAGGATAAACAAAATTAAAATGCTGTAAGGCCTCTAGACCTGTGATTTATATTTAGAGGCCCAACGCATTTGCTATCACAGCATTCAAGCATAGAGGCAATAAGAGCATATACATGCTTCACCACTACACATTGTCACCTAGCCTTATAGAGTCTACATATCTTTAGTTTAGTCCCATCAATTTCAGCGTTCCAAGGACAACAGATTTAATTAACTCCTTTCCTTCCTTTCTTTTCAAAGAGAAAATCTCAAAGAAGGATGCTCAGGCAGAATAGGAACAAAAACTAGTTCGAAGGAATATCTAAAAAGTACATGCTCGGCCACTCCAACCAAAAAGAAAATAGTCTTTAAGAATCCCAGGTGCCCCGAAGAAAATCCAAATAAATGATTTTGTGAGGACTTTATAGTCTTTAATGTATTGCAAGAAACTGCTTTTTGAAAAAGAAATCTAGTAGAAGAAACAGAACTGAAATAAATAAATAAAAGCCTTCCTTCTCTAACGGCTTAAGCTTTAAGTATCTACAGCAGGTATAAGTTGTCTTTTCTCCACCTTAAAAAAAGTAAAGATTGTTCATTCTCTAACAAATTCAACTTAAATGAAATAGTTGATGGACCACAAGACACGGTGATATACAATAAAACAGGATCTCAAAGACATTCAGAAAATCTAAAGAGCAATGGCTGTCAGTAACTGCAAGCAATTAATGAAGCTGGCCAATATTAATTTGAGCTAAAGGTGATGACATAAACCCGAACAGATAATAAATTCTTTGACCACATGAAATGCATCCTAACTATAGCCCAATACTCCTACTTAACACAAAGTCAACCATGAATGATGAGAATTTATCACGTAGAGCTAACCACTTTAATAAGTCCAACACGATAATGGCGTGGAATGTCCCCCATCATGCCAAAGTCAAAATAGGCAAGAGCTCCGTCCTCAGTAGCAACTAGGTTCCCAGGATGAGGATCAGCATGGAAAAAACCCACCTCCAGCAACTGTCTCAATGAGCAGTATAAACCCTGATAAAACAAAGCCATTTTCACAAAGCTTAAGAATAGCACGGAGAGGAGTAGATACACTCTACTAAGAAAGACAGCTACCATTTTTTTTGGGGTGTTTAAGAAAGATAGCTACTAACCTGGTCAATAAGTCTCTTCCTATTTAGATTTGCCTTCCTCAAACGACTTTCATTTGTCAGCTTAATCCCATCTATCCATTCCATCGTAAGCACCTCCTTACGGGTAAAGTTCCAATATATTTTAGGGACCTTGATACCATCATGTTTCTGACACCCGACATCATCAGTTGCTGCACTTCCTGGGACAGTTTTCTCTTTATGTGAACCGAAAAGCTAAGTTAGCATAAACTAAAGTGAACAACATTAAGGAAGTATTTACAGAGCATTAAAAAGAAATCACACGCATTAAGTTCACTTACTTTATGGTTTAGAAAATATTAATTTTATTTCTTTTTTCTTTTTCTTTTTTTTTAAAACCCTCCAAATTAGGAGGATCTATAGTGTTTTCACACTTCCCCTCCAGCGTGACTCGAACCCAGGACCTAACGGTCGTGGGTGGAGGTGCTTTTACCAACTGAGCAAGCCTCACTTGTCAAGTTGGAGACAGACCCTAGAGTCTAAAATGTTTCAAGTTGAGTATGACCAAGACAGAATACTTGGAGTGCAAGTTCAATGACAGGACCAATAAAGCGGACGTGGACGTGAGGCTTGATATACAACTCATCCCCAAGAGAGATAGATGCAAGTACTTGGGGTTTATAATCCAGGGTGGAGGTGCTTTTACCAACTGAGCAAGCCTCACTTGTCAAGTTGGAGACAGACCCTAGAGTCTAAAATGTTTCAAGTTGAGTAGGACCAAGACAGAATACTTGGAGTGCAAGTTCAGTGACAGGACCAATAAAGCGGACGTGGACGTGAGGCTTGATATACAACTCATCCCCAAGAGAAATAGATGCAAGTACTTGGGGTCTATAATCCAAGGAAATGGGAAGATGACGATTGCACATCGTATTGGAACCGCGGGGGGTTGAAACGGGGGCTTGCATCCGGTATTTTATATGATAAGAATGTGCCACCTAAACTTAAAAGGTAAGGTCTACACAGTGGTAGTTAGACCGACTATGTTCTATGGGGCAGAGTATTGGCCAGTCAAGAACTCCCATGTCCCGAAGATGAAAGTAGCAAAAATAAGGATGTTGAGATGGATGTGCGGGCATACCAGGATTGATAAGATTAGGAATGAAGATATTCGGATCAGGCTGGGAGTGGCCCCCATGAAGGACAAGATGCGGAAGCGAGACTAAGATGGTTTGGGCATGTAAAGAGGAGAAGCACAAAAGCCCCGATAAGGTGTAAGAGGTTGGCCTTGGTGGGTCTTAGGAGAGGTTGATGTAGGCCAAAGTAGTATTAGGGAGAGGTGAAGGCAGGATATGGCATGCTTCAGCTAACCGAGGACATAACCTTTAATAGGAAGATATGAAGGTCGAGAATTAAGGTAGAAGGTTAGTAGACAGTCAAGTGTGTTTCCTTCCCATTCCAGTGATATTAGTGCCAGTCCTGTATTATATTATTGTTAGATTTCTATCACTACATGTTCCTTTTGCCTCGTTTTCTTATTATCTTGTTGTCGTTACTATTTGTTGCTATTGTTTTATTTTAATCTTTCCTTGCGGCGAGGGTCTATTTGAAACTACCTCTCTACATTCACGGTAGGGTTAAGGTCTGCGCAACCCTATCTTCCCAGACCCCACTTATGGGATTATACCGAATTTTTTGTTGTTATTGTTTTTGTTGCTCTACAACTAAGAGCCCATTTGGATTAGCTGAAAAAAGGTAGCTTATTAAGCACTGGTGCTTAAAAGCACTTTTGAAGTGCTGGAGCTGGATTTGTAAATAAGCAGTTACATGTTTGGATAGAAGTACCGAAACTGATTTTCAGGTTGTTGAGCTGTTTGGTAAAATATTCTTTTTATTAAAATGACTAAAATATCCTTAAAGCCGTTATCGCTATAAAAGAGCTGATTATTCCAAGATTGTTAATTCAAATACAAAATAATTTATTTTCAATTCACTTTCTGTTTTATATTGATTACAAGAGATAATTTTTAGGTCAAATACATATATAAATACTCCAAGGTGGTACATATGCTACATAGAAAAATCAAAGCAATTTAAGTAAAATAGTGAACAGTCCCTAAACCCATTTCCTCCTCATCTCTATAAACAACCAGCATAAACACAATGCAGACCCACAATGTGCACCAAAGGAGAGTCTCTGATTTATAGCCAGTTGAGGTCTTCTTTTATTTCCTTTTTTCTCTTTTCCTTTATGCGATCCAATAAACGACATTGTTGACAGCTGTGGTCTTCGTCCCCGTCGATGTGGTTGTATGACTTCATACCTATGACTATGTCTGACTGGAACTATCTAGACATGTTTTCTTCATATCTATGGCTTCAGAGGTGGAGGAAATAAGAGGAAAAGAAACAGGCAAACAGCAGAGATGGGAGAGGAAGAAGAGAAAAGGAAACAATTACCTAGGGAGGGTATTGTTAGAATTAGAAATAAGAGTGAATTCCGAAAAAGAACTAAATTTGTGTATGGGATAATAAGGTAAAATTATTGTTCCAACTAAAATAGCTCTTAGGCCAAAAAGCAATAAGTTGAAGTTACCAGCTTATGGCTTGTTTTAAGCAGCTTGTAACTTGTTTTAAGCACTTTTACTTATTTTTTAAAAAGCTAAAAAGGCTTAAAAGCTGGTTTGATCAGCTTAAAAGCAATCCAAACACCCTCTAAGTGACGCATCATAGGAAGGCAGACGGGAGATGAAATAAAGGGAAAAGAACAACAGAAAAAAAATTAAGGAGAACAAGAGCAAAATAGAGAGAGACCATTCACGAAGTCTTACTCATCAAGTCAAGTAAAGAAGTGCAAAAATCCCCATTAAGATGAAATTATCAAAGAAAAAGTACAAATCTGGAATCAAATTTATCTATACTCGTTTATATGAATTGCCAGTTTCGCTTTATTTTCTCCAATGCTAAACAACATCAGCAATACCCTTAGCATCCATTTTGATTAGTCGTACCATGCTTGCTCAATACTGATATCCATTCATCGTATACCTGTACTCTTGTATATTTGCTTCTGTGTGATATGATTTAGAATGGATGCCTGTGACCGCGCCGGGGGGGGGGGGTTTGTTGTTGTTGTTGTGCCTGTGACCATGCCTGGCGGATTGTGAATCCTTGGTATATTTCTTTTTCTTTATTGTTTCATTTCCATTGGAAGATGGACTCCCGAGATGAAATCCAACTCAAAAAGGAGTAATCTAAACTCAAGGCCATAAAAGGCACAGAAGCTCACAAGTGCGGACCGCAGAATATCATCTGCGGCCGCAGATGATGAAGGAAAGGCCAGCATACCTTTGTGCACTTTCCTTAATCTATTCATCCATCTTTTGATAAAGAGATTGATTTCCTTAATTTATTCATCCATAAGCCCATATAAAGAGAATTTAACCAGCATCTATCCTAAAATTAACTGCAAGGTTATCCTTAGGAGGTATTAGCTTCTTTATCATAAGCTTAGTATATATGTGCTACAACTGGAAATTATTCACAGCAAACAAAAATCTTAGCTCATTGCTGTGAGTTCAAATACATCAACAAGGAAACATATTCTGTGTATCAAAAAGTAATATCCTGTTTGACTTTTACATTATGGAATAATTTGTGGAGCTGCTATCTGACTACACATCTTTTTATGACTAGTCAGCACAAATGTAGAGTGATTGATTAGCTCTCTCTCTCTCTTTAGATATTAGGAAGGGTAGAACTATAGCCCATTAAGCTTTTGATGGTAGAAAAATAAGGTCATTAGAATATCCAGTTGGTCTTTAACATTATCCTGTCAAGACCCAACATATATTCCATGACAATCAATCTACATTTGTACCGACTAGTTATAAAAATGGAAGGGAAAAATGTTATTCCATGATATCACCAAAACTACTAAAGCAATGTCTGGAAGAAACTTACGACTGCATGCATAAAGAGATGCAAATCTTTCAGCATTTTGTGCTTCCAGGATGTAGTCAATTTCTTCAAACATGTGTCTCACCTATTCATTCAAGCAAAACCTAAGGGGTTAGCAAGTATATAATAGACAGCTATTTAGATAAAGTGCAACATTGTTCCCATATGTACAGACAAATGGGGAAAATAAGAGGATAATGAACCAATAGGGAAATGAGACATAAAGGTTGAGCAAAAGCAATTACTTAAATACAACTTTGCCAGCTTCTTCGATTTTAATCTCTTGACACAAAAAAAATAGGTTAAGAACTAGTGGTCAAATGATAGTGTCATCGATAGAGTAACTTTGAGATCTTCTCATCTTCATTAAAAGCTATTGGTTGAGTTGTTCAGTTTCTGGTTAGGATATTTTTTTTAACTGTTGCCGCTGCTTCATTGAGCTGTATCAAGTACACTTTGTAAATTTGACTAAAACATGCATTAGCTAGATCAGAATTCATCTCACAATCATCCCAAAGAATCAGCTTTAGACTTGTAATGTACTCTCTGAAATAAAGAGAGTCTTGATGTATAACCCATCACACCCACCGACGCATTGGCTGCCAGATATCATCTTTCGAAGTACAGAAACATAAGATGGAAATTTGGAATCTCACCATCTCATTGACAGCTACTAACAGATCCTTACGAGCTTTTGCAAATCTTTTTAGTTGGCCACCAATCATGTGAAATAACATAGCATCAAGTGTCAGTAAATGTGACATATGCGGCCTCTGGACCTTAACAGCCACAAGCTCTCCAGAATGCAAATGAGCTGCAAAACTTGAAGTCAAGAAGAAACATTAAAAGCTTGTGTACCCCTGAAGCCCGGCACTCACTATTCCAAAACCCGTTACATTCCCCTTGTAGATTTATTTTCGACACAAATTAAGGGGAAAAGGAACGCAGGAAAGGAAGATATGGTAAAAGGTTTGGAGAAATGAAGAAAATGAGAAGTAATGAAACGCCATAGAACTAGTTAGAGAACCACTCATAGAGAGTGGCAGAGAATCACAAAAAATTTCAAGTTCTAACCTTTATATACTTGCCCCAGAGATGCTGCAGCAATTGGCTCCTTGCTAATGTCAGCAAATACTTGTGAAACGCCAACACCCAACTGGGACTCGATAGATCTTCTTGCAACATGAGTTGGAAATGGGGGGATTTGATCCTGGCAAGATGTGAAGACAAATTGAGAATAATACATTCTGTTGAGAAGTCTAATCCAACTTTCAAGGATACAAAAATTCTTCTCCTATTTTGAGTAAGCAATAAGGCTGGACTTTTTAAGGTTTTTACAGAGTACACATGTAAAAAAGAAGGCCAAAAGGTGGAGATAAAGCCAACTTTCTTCTGAATGGAAGTTTGGGACCGGATATCTTTTTTGTAATAAAAAATATTAAAAGATGGACAAACCAGAAAGAAATGTAATAGTAAGTTGAGAGATGATCCCTATCAGTATCATTGAAGCATTAAATTTACCTGTAACTTCGCAAGTTCTTGACAATACACTTTTGGTAATATGTCTGGCCTTGTGCTTAAAGCTTGTCCCAGCTGTTATTCAAACAATTGCAGAATTAACCATAAGACCTTTTTCCCGGCTGGAGACAAGTTACAAGCTCCTGTTGGAACCGAGGGCTGATGCACCATGTAAGCAATCTGAAATTACAAGGGCTCGGCAGCCCATTTAACCACATAGAAATTATATCACACAGGGACTACTCTTTTAAAAGCTTATCAGAGAATCAGATATGTAACCAATAAACAAAAAGAATAACAGAGCAGCAGAAAATTTCATCTATTATGTACTTTCCAGGTTTTGCACCTCTCAAGCACAAAGAAGAGGGAAAAACAAAAGCACCCCGCTAAAGCCTTTCATAAAACTAGCGAAAGTGTTCTTCAAACTCATTAAAAAAAACCTTATCTGCACGTTCCTCAATCCCGCAAGATTGCAAGATGCGTTGAATAGAGGAAGAAGAATGAAATAAAAGATAAATCACGTTTTTGAAGCATGAGCTTAGAAAAACTAATCACCAATGTTTATTTTCAGCATATTGAGTCCTTTAAATAGGACTTACAATGAGTAAAATGAAAACTAATCCTAATTAAACTAGAATAAAAATAAGGTTAAGAATAACATATACTAACTAAAATAGGAAAAAGAATTCTAGTAGGAATGGAATACCAACTAACAATCCTAGTTGACTAGAACTACAAATGTAATCCTACTAAAACAAGAATCAAATTCCTAGGAAACAGGAAATAAGAACTCCTAATCTTTATGGATAAGATAATCTTGAATGGATTATAGGACTTCTTGATTTCTTGGCCTTCTTGATCTTGCATCAACTATCAACCTCATTCTCCTTATTAGTAGGTGTTGAAGAGGCATCACTGATCCAATACATCCTCTTGCCATTTCATAGATGCAACAAAATAAACCTCAACTCCCCATCATTTGAGCACATCAAGAAACCAGGGGAAGAAAATATAATGTTCAATCCTATCCAATCCTATCCCAAGCAAAACCAATTGTGCCATTGTTTGATTCAGATACCTCACAAAAGCTTCAAATGATCTAATAATTTAATCAAACTACTCCATCTCATTAGGTTCCATCTAATAATTTAATCAAACTACTCCATCTCATTAGGTTCCAAATCTGATACCACTCCAGCCAGCGAAAAGGAAACCAGAGGAAGACAGACTCGTCCTCTCATTTTCCATCTTAAAGTACAGGAATAAAGACTACAAGCTGTAATCCCCTTTTTTCGCTTCATATCACATCACATGCACTTTTCTAGAATTTAATGGCTCCCCCAATGGATATCATCCATTAGTGAGCCAATTTAAAGAATGGAACCTTCTTATAGGTCAATTTAGACGGTAGAATTGATAAGATTCTTTTTGGAAAGGCAAAGCATTAATAAGATGTTACGAATGTTCCTGATTCTTGATAGTGAAATTTTCCACCAGCAATACAAGGGATAACATTTGACATACATAGAAAGTCCAAAGCGAGGAATAGGTTTGTGGAACACATTTGACCTATAAGTCAACAATTTTCCTAGATCAGAAAGACCCTAAATCTTTTATTGGATAGACCTTGTTTTTCAAAACTTCTAGTAGGCAATGTAGGTCATCCAAAATTAATCTAAGTTGCTCGGACTCACTTCTAGTAGGCAATGTAGGTCATCCAAAATTAAATAATTAATAGTAGCTGATTAATTTTGTACTACTCTTTAGGACCAAAAAAACCAACTTCAAGAATGAACTTATCTACATGATAAAACACTATAGTTCTTATGCTGTCATGCCACCAGAGAACTTCCACAATCTCTAGCTCACTCCAACAATTAATTCCTACAGATGCAAGAACTACACGTGATAATTGAGTTATGGAGCATGCAAAGCAATGTGTCCCAACTACATATACTTTAATCATTCTTTTGCCAACAAGGAAGCAATAAATGCACTCTTTGCACAATATATACACGCAGTTAGCGCCACCTACACCTATTTTGCATCATTCCTCTGCCAATGAGGAAGCCCTAAAAGTAGCTTTGCACAAGATGTCCTATAAGGAACCAAGTTTAGCTATTCCCTGAATATGTATTTCATCTTCACCCACTCTTCTCCTAACCCACATGTTTGTGAATAGTATTTCGAGGCAGGCAATTGGACTCTGTGATTAAATCAGAATTTCTGCAAAAAGTGGTAGCGCTAGTTTCTGAATGACTTGTTTTTTGGTCTTCTGTCATGCTTGTAGCCTGAGCTTAAACATCCTTCAATATCTGTATGTCAATGTATGCCACAGTCTGAAATGCAAATTGAGAATGGAACAAAGTGGTGCTTCTGGCTTCCTGGCAGTGTCAGGCTTAAGCCAAGAAGAACCTTAACAAGCAAAATTACTATTCTTCTATTTATGCTCCTTCCATGTAATGACAAGAAATGTCATTGCTCCTATAGCATCAGCTATAAGCATATTGAAGTTGTTGAAGGGACTAAACAACTAAAAATGTGTTCTCTCTAACAGCTTAAGTTTTTTAGATGACATGGCCACTCGATTCAATATGGTATCAGAGCAGGTACAGGTCATGGGTTCGAGTCTCACCACCACCCATTATAAAAGATGAATTTCCACGTGTTTGGCTAGTGAAACTTTGGGTTATCTGATGATGTGTTTTGTGGATTCGAGCCAAGTGGGAGAGTCTACTATCGACGATCAGATCACATGGTCAATAAATGAATGAAGCTTGCACATGAATGGGCGTGTGAAGAGACTACAACAACAACATAAACATACCCAGTAATATCCCACCACACCGTGGCGTCTGGGGAAGGTAGTGTGTACGCAGACCTTACCCCTACCTTGTGAGGATAGAGAGGTTGTTTCCAATGGACCCTCGGCTTAGGAAAGCATAAGCACCACATTAATGAAAATATAGACAAGAAGGAACAGTACCAAGAAGCCATATAAAGCAGAATAAAAACAACCAGATAGTAAAGTGATCAACAATGAAAGAAAACAACGGTTAGTCATAAAAACCTACTACCAATAGAAAGCGAGACTGCGTGCCAATACTACTGTTATGAACACTCTAGACTACCTACTCTACTACCCTAATCCTCGACCACCATACATTCCTATCAAGGGTCGTGTCCTCGGTCAGCTGAAGTTGTGCCATGAGTGGGCATGTGAAGAGACTAAGTAAATAAAAGTATGTTCTTTCTAAAAGCTTAAACTTTTAGATGAGATGGTCACACGCATCAATAAAAGCATTATCCTCACACACACCCCTAAAATCAGAACTAAGGACAGAAGCAATAGTAGACTACACCACAGCAGACTGATATGAACACTTAAACAAGCAAAACTGTTTGTGCACTGACAAGAAGAACATTAGTCAACCACACATCAAGATAATCATAAGCAGAAAGTGTAACTTGCCTTTATGTAGAAAGGTCCCAAGCAGATAAGAGTTTCACGGAACTGCAATAAAAGATAACTAGCTCATTGTTAAGGCCGTGGATAACCAATTAACCACTTGAAATTCAGAAATGATAGAAAGAAGTATAAATAATCAACAGTCATCAGATAACTTTCCCTGAAAAGCATCAAATTTTTCTCTCGTCAAATACTTTGATAAAAAGTGTGTCAATGTGAACCATAAACAACAGTAAAGAACAAATCTACACGGAAACTAGAAAGCCTTTGTCTTAATAAAATCTGACATCCAGTTTAGTGAATTTTATGAAACTACATATCAGATGATATGTGAGAGGACAAAAGATTAAGCTACGAGTAAACCCGCAAAAGTAACTATCAAACCAATACCACCGCCCTCATCTGGCACAAAGTGCAAGGCAATTTAATCCATACTTTTCACAACCAAGCTCTTTAAGGAGCAGCAATTGTATTACTCACAGACCTAGCCCCTAGATGTCAACTAACTGATGATAACGGCATAAGAACTGCAGGAACAGTGATTGTTTGACAAACTCAATGACAATAGTGATTGTTTGACAAAAATGCATGTGGAAATTCCCATTCAAATTACTATAATAAGTAAATACCTAAATGAAGGTGCTCCCAGTTAAGTTGAAAAACATATATAGTATTCAAAGAAGTACATTTGAATACGGTGTCGCCCATTTTTCACAATGAGGTTTCTGGCTAGCCCCAGGAAAGAAAAATTACGAGCGGAAGTTCTTGGGGCAGAGACGAGTCTGTATCTTTCTTTATTTCTTTAGTTTTTTCTGTCCACAGCAATAAGGGAAGGGGCTTTGAGGCACTCGACCTGTTATGTGGGTTAAATAAGTCAAAGCATGTGAAGTTAGTGCCAGTAGCCTTATAAACGAAGTTTTAGAGGTTTTGCTTTCCTCAACTTCTCCATTTTATCATAGAAAGATTGCTAGAAAGCACTGAACAAATAATGGTGGGTCATTTCATAGCTTTCATGCTCTAAAGCTGAAAATTCCACTTTCTGATCCATTCTATGCCGTTGATCGAAAAGAAAGCACAATGTCATCTGTCAAAATGCCTATAGGATGCCTCCCAAGCAATAATCAAACCTTTTAGATAAAACTTCATTGGAGAACTGAATATACCTTAACAGCACGTCTTCTTAAATCATGGACAAATAACCGCCAAATGGTTAACTTCAACACATAGAATGAAATGATTGCTGCTCTGTACAAAGCCAAGAATGGGCCAAAACGATATAATGACGAAAGGCTTTTCGACTTATAAGTAAGTGCATGACCAAATTCGCTTTCTAGTGATTCTTTTCTCAACTTAGCATACTCAGCAGTTGGCCTTTCTCCATGCACACTGGAAAAACCGGTAGAAAAGCTGCACCAAAAGCGTATTAACTCATGAATTAGGGGGTGACAAAGGAAACTCCTTAGGAAGAAAATATTCCACCACAGACTGTATGCACAAATGTTAGACTAGAAAAATAAAAACGAGGGTGGTGAAGCCAATAAACTGATCAATAATGCAAAAGAAAAGTACAATGGCGTTTCCGAGGAGCATTGAACTGGTTCAGAAATCAGCCACATATCAAAAGAGAGGAGAAAAATCACATATTCATTCACTTACTATTTTGGGGTTGACAAATATGATCCCACAAAATTGTCATGCTTTCCAGTTAGAATAACCTCAGGAAAACTACTGGATGAGTATTCGCACAAAGCAGTCTCAACTGAGCAGCCAAAGCGTAGAGCTGCAAAGAAGTCAACGATGGAAGAGTGACCACGTAATTTCTTGTTATTAATTAACAAGTTGAGTGATAGCATATTATCAGAAACTGACTTAAAAGCTATAACTTCATTGAGTAATAGGCAGAGGATAATGACAGCTACTGCTAGAAAATTAGCGAGAAAATATGGGACGCTCAATTTAAAGCTACAACAGTCAAATTTTCACAAGCAAGTGGCTGGTCCTAAGGGAGGAGATACAAATCCAAATAAAGTGAGCGAGTTCAAAAGGGTCCGATATAAAATATATTGAACATGTAAAATTAAACCATGAAGAGGAAATTCCACATGGGATTTCACACTCTCCGTATAGCGCGTACTTTTTACCTTAGTTATGAATGAGCTAACTAACACCATCACATGGTGTATGCTATTTGCTAAGAATGTTGTGTCATTTGACGAAATCAGGGAGAGTGTCAACCCAAAACTTGAACTGTAGAGAAGCACTCTAGAAAGTAAAGGTATTAGGATAAGTAAAAGTGAGATTGAATATATTTACTGCTAGTTTAGACAGCATAAGAAGAGTGAAGGTGAGGTGAGATTGCAGGGATTGCGGTGTCTAAATGCAAACAATTCAGATACCTAAGCTCGATGTTCCAAAGAGAATGGGGCGATAGATGAGAATGTTACAACGGAGAATTAAAATGGGATGATTAGCATTATATAATAGGCAAACAATATTTTGAATGATCACTATAGGATAAAATTAGCCAGCCAATTCCGTGAAGAAGATTTCACACCTAAAGGACTACAAACAGCATATGCCTAAGCACGATTAGGGGAATAAAAATGGCAATTACTTGGGGACAGCACTGCAAGATGCCGTCGCTTAAGGCATGAAATGATACTCCTCATTGGCTGCTGATGGGATACAACGATGAAATGAAGAAGACAATTTGAGTGTTCATATAATAACCTTCTCCAGCGGTGTCTCGTAATTCAACTGCATAAGGTGTTTGAGAATATGCCTCTGAAAACGGTAAATTCAGGTGGAGCGATTGAATTGAAGCTGCGGCAACGGTGCTTCGTTTTGCTGCTTTGCCGCTGCACACTGCTTAGACTTGGGGACCTAAGAATGTGCCACGTTTTACATACGTGGCTCCCAAGGACAAAGAGAGAGCCCGTTTGAACATAGAATGAATTTCGAAATCAGTATTCCTTAATAAAATTTTCAATTTTCGCTTCAAGATTCATTTAGAAAATTTTTGAAAAATTATAAAAAACTATTTTTTAAAATTTTAACTTAAATCACTCACAAAATTTCAAAAACAACCAAAAATTATATTCATATCCAAACACAACTCTAAATTTCAAATACCATTTTAACTTGAAATTTTTTTTCTCCTATTTTAAAATTTTACAATTCTTATGTCCAAATGCCCACAAAGAGTGAGAGTGAGCAACAACTCACAATGTTAAAAGAAAAGAAAAACTGACAGTGTAAATTTGCCGTGGCAAATGTACGGGTTGAGTCGGGTTTGAATGGATTGAAAATGGGCATATTTCAGGAGGGGCAAGAATGAGTTAAAGATAAATGGTTGAATGCATATGTGAGAAAATCATCTAATTTTAGGAAAAAATAAATCATCCAAACAAGAAATACAAGAGCAATGGAGAATGTAGAGATATGTCGTTATTGTTATAAAATAAAGACCGTAAAGTAAAGACAAGTATAGAGAAAAACTGATATATTATTCAAACTTCAAATTTATGTACATAATTATCACGCCCCAAATCTGGGGGCGTGGCTGGCACCCGGTGCCTTATTGGCACGGGCGAACCACTCTGTAACTCATGATCGTTCGACCAAAACTAGAACATGCATAGGTCGAGTTGGCTAAACTCATTCTTTCTGTATCCATCATGGGCCAACATAGCCACAAGTCGTAATGTATAACTATAAGTGGAAAACGTTGTATCAATGAACCATTGTTCTTAAAACATGAATACATATGGGTCGTCAAGGCCTCTGACATACTGTACATGATGAACATATGTCTACAAAGCCTCTAAGAGTATTTGACATCAAAATATGGTGGGGACAAGGACCCGGCCTACCCATAAGTCTATAGCAAAATTCTAACACTATGACTTATAGACTCGGTTGCACTCCGAATGAAGTGGAGTCTAACCGATCCTTCGCTGAATGTTAACCTCATCTACTATGAGGGCTCGTCAAACTGATTATCTATAACTGCAGGCATGAATGCAGCGTCCACAACAAAAGGACGTCAGTACGAATAATGTACCGAGTATGTAAGGCATGTAAATCAGTGTATAAAGGACATGAATGAAACATGAAATAAAGGACTCAACCTGTAAGTCTGGATAGCTTTGTAAATCATGAAATATTTATAATGTCATGCATATGCGTATAAATATCATATAATGCATAGGTCTGTGCGTACATAACATCATCAAGCCTCTGAGGGCATCTCATCATATCATCTCAGTCTCTGTGGGCAAAATCATCAACGTATACCAACTAATCAGGTGGTGGTGCGTATATAATGTCGTAACCTTTTTCCATATCTCATATACATATAATATACGCGTATATAACGCCATCTGGTCATGGATCAATGTACATGTATAAATGAATGCAATTCATAATGAAGTAGGTCAATAAGATTTCTCGGATAAATTTTATCAACTACGTATTTTTCTGAGACCCGTGAACATATGATATAATAATAGGACACATAGGAAATCAAGAATATAGGCACTCCTAGTACTTCTATGAATATAGTAATTTATGAAAGTTGTATGTTTGTTTTGTTTGTATCATATGGATCATGCCAAAAATAAATAAGGGATAACCTTAACATACCCGGTCTTAACCCCACTGGCTCAAGAGCTCAACTCATATCAGCTAAAGAAAACCGACGTGAGTATAATCATTATGTTCTTCGCATTCGCCTTAGTCGTAGGTCTTAGTATCTTTTTGTTGAGAAGAAATGTAATTTACCCTCTAGAAAACGTTGCTGCTCATATTTTCCTAAAGAAAATCTTCTCCACCTTAAGATGTTGAGAAAATATATATAGTGTCTCTATGTATATATAACACTAATATACAACACCTTCAATATATATATAGGAAGTCAACAAAGTAGTAAAATCTATCTTTAAAGGGGCCTTTAACCACTTACACATGTCATTAATAGAATACCCATTTGATTAGTCATCCAACCCCATTTAAACGTGTACACATATAGTACACATATTTCTTATCATCATTTGCACTTGTGTATGTATAGATATTCCACCTAGTTGTGTATGTATAGATATTCCACCTAGTACATAAACTAAAGAGTCACCATTGGCTTAATTAAGAACCCCATGTGCTGCTACTTTGGGAGGTCCATTAAGCTTATCCACAATTTCCTAATAAGCTTGTTAATTTCTCACTAAACTAATAACTCACACAATTAATTTTAGCACACAATTCACTTAAATACTAATATATTTCATATACCTTATTATCATGGTCATGTGATATAGCACTATTCCATAAATATGAGGCGTGACAAAAGTGGTATCAGAGCAGGTCGTTTCCTAGGGAGTTTACAAAGCCATGCTTAGTAGAGTCTCACTTATGAGTGTGTTGCGCGCCACATTTATAATTGAGAGGCTATAGGACATTTAGGAAATGTTACCCTTCTTTTGTTTTCAGATCGTGCCATAGAATTGAGTCGTAAGAAGTCAGTATGAAGTTTCCGTCGGATTTTGTATGCACCAGAGGTGCAAGTATCATAGTAGAGTTTTAAGGCGTGGATGCAATTTTCACCTATGTAGAAGGGAGGTTATGAAATCGATAGAAGATACGATGCGAGATTAAAAGATAAGTAAGGTAAAGGTGAAAAAGATATGAGATACTCAAGTGCAGAAGGTTGTGAATAGTCCAGACTTCATATAAAGGTTGGGTTTTAATTTAGTTTACATAGGAGACTCTAGCAAATGAGTTACAGAGTGGTTCGCTCGGGCCAGCACGGCACCAGGTGCCAACCACGCCTCCCCAGGGTTAGGGCGTGATAATAATGAACTGAAAACTCCTCTATTTATAGAAAAAAGAAAGCTGATGTGTAAGCTACTTGTAAGTTGCTGTGTAAGTTGCTTGTAAGCTACTACTGCAAGCTGTTGTGCAAGCTGTTGTGCAAGCTGTTGTGTAAGCTGCTTGTAAGCTGCTACTGGTACCGGGGGTAATATTTATCCATAACGAAGTACCAAAATGATAAGCTTCTTCAGGAGACTTATTCCCAATAGGGTACTAAATAGATAAGTATATTTACGGCGGAGTCTCATATGGATAAGCTTCTTCAGGAAGCTTATTTACAACAGAGTATTAAATGAACATCCATAATATAATATATTTATAACAGTTATTCATTTTGACTCGTTTTTAACTATTTTATAGCGGATTAAAATAATTTGGCTCATATTTTTTTATTTATATTTTAAATGGGTGGAACAAAGGCAAGTTTATGAACTAATTGGGCGGTCAAATAAATTGAAAATTTCACATAAAAATAAGAAAATATGACATTGTATAACCGTTGTAAAAATAATAACCGAGAATATATATAAAAATATATTTGTTTATATATATATATATACATATGGTATGTTATATACTAAAATTATACAAATTTTATATACTTTTCCGGCTACCATATGTAAATAGTTTCTGGCGCGGTCTAAAAGTGATAATACCCCTAAAAATAACTCAGCACCCTACCTTGTAATTTAATGGCCCATATACAAGTTTACAAACATACAGTCCAAAAATAATAGGCTCATATCCGAAAAGGAGGCATTTTTTGGTTTTTTGAATTCTGAAAATCTGAAGCGGGATTTTCTCTGCTTCTTTCCATTCTTCTTCCCCAAGTTTTTATACCAACCTATTCCACCTACAAAAATGTTATTTAACACCCAATGCAAGTCAAGAAACCTAGAATTTCTTCTTCCTCAAGCTCAAAATAACATAAATCAAATACAAAAAATGAATTGTTTTTACTTCAATTAGAGATTTGCCAGAGAAAATTAAGAAAATACGAATCTTTTGCTACGATTCACGATTTTCACCCCTCTTTTGCTGCAATTTGTGATTAACTTTTTTTCAATGGAGATTTATCCTATATACCTCTTTCATAGTAGTGGATAGGATAATGACAATAACTTTGTCAATTTTGTTGGCAATAGTGTAGTTATCGAGTCTACTTTCAGCTTCAACAATTTGGTTAAAGCAATTTTAAACCAAATTAGAGTTGATTTTGAGTTGAATACATTAAAAATTAAGTTTCTTTCAAATGATGGTTTGCCGCCTATCCTAATTTACTATAACACTAGTGTTCGGGTATATATTGAATTAAAAAAAAAAAATTTGAACTTCACCAAGTAAGGAGATTCATGATAATTGTTTGATTATTAAAAGTTTGTGTCGTATAGATAAAGGCAAGTATGTAAATGATATTAAAGATGCATCTGCAGTTGATAGCATTGTGTCACGACCCGAAATTTCTACCTTTGGTACCGTGATGGCGCCTAACATTTCACTTGCTAGGCAAGCCAACATTAGAATAATTTAAACCATTTTTAACAATTTATTTTAATTAAATAATAAAGAACCAATAAACGGAATAATATCTGAATTTAAATGTGCAAACCAAAAATACTACGATCTCTAAATACCATCCCAGAACTGGAGTTACAAGTGCACGAGCTTCTAGAATAATACAAACAAGGGTCTGAATAAAAATAAAGTTGTCTGAAAGAAAGCATACAACTAAAATAAAGTAGAAGGGGACTTCAGAGCTGCGAACGCTGTGCAACTATACCTCAAGTCTCCACTGATAGCTGAATCCCAGCAAAATCTACAGTACGCTGTTGTGACCAACTCCGAAATTTGCACAAGAAGTGCAGAGTGTAGTATGAGTACAATCGACCCCATGTACTATGTAAGTGTCGAGCCTAACCACGACGAAGTAGTGACGAGGCTAAGGCAGGCCGCTTACATTAACCTGTACGCAATAATAATAATAATAATAATAATAATAATAATAATAATAATAATAATAATAATAATAATAATAATAATAATAATATGAATAGAGGTAAGACAGGTAAATCA